AAGCATTTAACAAAGTGTCTGGCACATGGTAGGCCCTTAATGAAAAATAATGCGAAGCATTCTTCTGGACAAGATGGGAAAGGATAGGATAGAGAGATTGGCTTATATAGAGGAGAGTGGAGTAAAGAAGGAAAGAGTAGGTGATAGTATCAAGGAGATGAGGGAGAAAGGGAGAAGAGAAAGCTCATGATAAGTGACAATGATGATTTTTTTTGGTGAAGCATTAATTAAGGTCTTGTGCTGAAAGGGTAGGATAGTGGGTGGTATTGGGGGCTTAAGTAAAAAAGAAGTTTGAAACTGCCATTGTGGTGAGGGAGATAGAAAACCAAGTAGGGAATGGTAGAAGAATTGATTTGCTGAAGTTAGAGTACAATTTGAGATTAGATAACATAAATTTGTAGGAGACTCAGTGAACACAGTTATGTGACTTCCTCCAAGTCTCTCCAGTAGCACAGAAGTAGAAGTGAAAACACAGATGGTGGAGGTAGTCAAAGTTGAGGGATGGTGAGGTATGGATGGCCATAGGACAAGGAATCAAAGGATTGGAAAGTAGAAGGTAGTGGAAGTTGAGTAAATTGAATAACTAACTGGGAAGTGAGTATATTTTAGTGAACATCAGTATACGTAACTCCAAGTTTTATAGTATGAGGAAAGGAGTGTAGAGGGAGGGACACAGTGACTTAAAATGGATTCTGAGAAAAGAAGATGAATCCCTAAAGTTTGATAGAATTAATTTTGAAGCTGTAAATTGGTTGATCAATTTGGATAGAGTGGACCTCAAAAGAGAAGTTGCTGAGTGATAATAGGTAGGGAGGGAGGTAACAAGCATTTATTAAGTGATTGTTATGTTCTAAGAACTGGTGGTAGAGGGAGAATCTGGAAGTAGAACAAGTAGAGTTATATCTCCCCCAACCAGGACCATTGAATATTGGAGTATGAGAGATAGTGCGACCAGTACTGGAAAGGACGGCCAGTGATGGAGTGCACAAATGAACCAAGTGAGAATATCTTATGAATCACATTATGACTTTCCAGCCTATAAATTTATGATATAATTTGAGACCAAATGTGTAGAAAATTATAAGGGATATTAAAACAAATAAATAAAACCCAATTGAAGCTAATTTTAAAACAACAGACATTATTACTGAATTTAAAAGAAGTTAGCAAAATAATTTAATTGAAAATGCTTTAACTTCATTGTTTAAATTAACTGTTAACCCAATAAAAATATTTTTTTGCATGCAGTAGTACATGTGTTTTAAATTCAGTTTGTCGTTAAAAACAACTTGTTTATAAAACGCTTAATCAAGATTAATATTTTTGGAGGATATTATCACTTGAACCATGACATGAACATATATAATTTAATAAAGTTTAATATATAAAAATCTGAACCTACAAAATTACTGGGCTATTTTATTTTACAATGTTTGGAAATTATATGGAACTACTATTTAAAGATTAATTAATTTCTAACTTTGCTACTTCCTCCTTTTCTGTTGTTATACAATCACAATCAAATTAAATTACTGAGAGCACAAACTCACATTGGTGGTTATTATTGTAGACAATGGAAAAAGTGCTGGATTTGAAGTCAGATCACCAGAGTTTGAACTATGGCTCTGAAACTGTGTATCTTTGAGGTCCTCATCTGTAAACAATTGCAAGCATTTATATAGTGCTTTAAGGTTTGCAAAGTGCCCTACAAATATTATCTCATTTTATCTTTATAACAATCTGGGGAGGTAGGTGCTTTTATTATTCCCGTTTTACATGAGGAAACTAAGGCAGATAGATTAAGTGGCTTGCCGACAGACACACAGGTAATAAGTCTTTGAAGCAAGGTTGGAACTCAGGTCTTTTCAGATTCGCAGGTTTAGTGACCCAACCATTGTGCAACCTAGTTATAAAATGGGGGGATTAGACTAATCCAATGGACACGTCGCTTCCAGCTCTAAATCTTGATCATTTGATAGTGATCTTTTAAAAGAAACTCTCATTTTTTTCTTCTATAGTATTAAACCAGAGTATATAATTAGAGTAGAGTCTAAAATAATGGAATAATTATAGTACTTACTTTGAGTCATAAGTAGCAATTATGTTTCTTAGCATAAGTACTACAAAATGAATCTGGAGCAAATACCATAAATAAACTTTATAATCAACTTCACCTGGGCAGGGTAGATCTTTGAGAGAGATCTTGAACTTTGTGATACAAGTGATAAAAGGTCTTTTGCCACTAGATGGGGGGAAAAGGGGAGGGGAGAAGAGAGAGAGACCATGGAAAACTTCTATTTTAATGCAGGACAAAGACCATGGGACACTAGTAATTCTCAGGGTCATCCACTTAGGGACATGCAAGGCTGATGTTAAGGAGGACGCTTAGAAACTTGACCAGGGTAAAGCTAGTAGAATATGAAGAAGGAAATGATGGAAGCACATCATCTCATATCTTACTATTTTGTCTAATTATTCGTATTTAAACGGTCGCTCAGCTCAATTGTTTCTACCCACTGAGGGACTACAGGCATTAACGACACCTTCTAAATTTAATTGCCCAATTGCAAAAGTCCAGCTACCTCATCCTAATTATTCTGGCTTTGAGCTAGCACAAGGTAGATACTCTATAAATACTGGTGAATAAATAAACAGTTTATTTCAGATTGTTTCCTTATAGACAAAATTATTCAGTAGAAATAGTTTTAATAGAGTAATCACAATGCTATCTCAAAAATGGAGAATGTAGAACCTTTGGGACTACGCGTACATGGAATTTATTTAATAACAAAAGTAGCTTTCAAAAGCTATTTGTGGGCCTATGTCACAGAGTTTATATTTGGCCAACTTTTTCAAGTTGCACCTTTGAGTAGAAATAGTGGTAATGGCTATGCACAAATAATTTCAGCCCATTTAATCCAGTTTTTTCAAAATGTGAAATAGGTACAAAAGAACATTTTTTATGCTATATTTTGAACATACATAAATGTCTCTAAATTGTTCTTTGAAAAAGACTTTATAAAATTGTAGTTTTATTAGTAGGTAGCATTATATGGTATGTATATGTAGATACCCTACTATACCTGAGAACAACATTATAAGAGTGCTGGTTTATTATTCATATTTATTTTTGAAGAAATACAGTCAGCAGGTAAGTTATTTTCATTTTATACCATTCTTTGATCTGAATTTTGGGCATGTTACATTGGCATGCTTTTTTATGTTGCTTATCAGGATACAAATATAAATAATATATTTTATTATACATGGATCAGTTATTAAATCCTTTAACAAAAAGGCATTTAACATGATACAGGGATGTCTAAAGATCATTTTACTCTATTTATAAATACTGAGAAGTAATAGTAATAAAAATATTAAATACTCATTATTTTGATATATAAAATGCTGTATTGTTTAAAAAGGTTTACTTGTGTTTGTAATTAAGTATAGTTTTGCTCATGGAAGATATCTTAGTATGTACAAGTTCTTTTGTGTAAAAAAAATTATAAATTTGTAAAATCTATACTGAAACAATCATTTTAAATCATAATTTGGAATCACCTCTGATACATAACTGGCATTGTGACCCTGAGCAAATCACTTAACCTCTTGATATCCTATGCCATTTAAGTTTCAGAGAAGGGGCTGACCTGTATTGGTAAAGAGAATTCCCTCACCTGGGTATTCCATATATTAAATGAAATCCCAGGTCCAATTTCATCCCTGTCCTCAATTTGGGGCCAAATCAAGTTAGGTTAATACTTGATACTGACTCTCAAAGTTGATCAGATGCTTATATTGAAAACCAGAATTGATCAAATGTAATGGCATTTTGTTTTATTTGATGCAGTCATAAGCTATTTTTAATGATGATAATTGAAAAATTATTCATTTATGCTAATGTGTACCATTTTCCCTTAGAAATATGATTTCCTACTAATTACATTTGTTAGAGAAACTAGAAACAACTTCTTTTTGTTACTACTTGCAGCTAACCCTAATCAATTGATGTAATGATTTGATTTGTATATATGAGAAAATGCTAAAGAAATTATTTCTGAATCATCTAAATAAAAATCAAAATAATGTCACTCATACTTACAAATAAAATTTACAAATTCTTTCAAAATTTAAATTTGTTCATTTAAAATATAATTAAATAATGAATTCTTAAAAGAAAAATTACTATGTGAATTCCTTTGTCATTTGTGTTTGTGATTATACTGTCTTACGAAAATTGTTGACTAAGCTGGATACTTCTGGAATTGTGTTTAATTCTTTCTAGCCACACTGCATAATATGCTACTGTAATATCCTTGTGGCATGGAAGGTAATTCACTACTCTAAGTGCCTAATTTACAGCTAGACAGTCTATAAATACCAATGATATTCAGTTAGTTAACTAATATTTTACTTTATTTAAAGCATTTAGCTGCTATTTATATATAATAAAACCTCATTAAATTGTACCCCCATTGATTTATAATTCATAGTAAATTTTGCATGATGTATGTGATTTTTATTGAATAAACATATGTAAATAATATGTTCTGCTGGAAAATGTCAAGGCTTAAAGCTACACAAAATAGAGCAGAGTCTAAAGTCAGTTACCTTCTCAAAGGATTCAAGGAATTAAGGATTCCTTCCATTTCTCTATTCATGTCAAAGTATATAATATAGTATATTAATGTATGTTAATAATGATATAACTATTATTAATTTAAAATATTTAATTTACTTTAATTATTTGAAAGCAATACAATTTCCTTAAATATATCCTTCATTTGAATTTCATTTGAATCATTTGAATCTTCATTAATATAGGTGGCAATCTTACCATAGTTATTTATTAGTGAGGTTTTGCTATATTTAAAAATGAATATAGTAAACCATATTCTCATTTACTTAACAGAGACTAGTTTCTCAACATCCCTGTTGCATGTAGAGATTTCATGTATTTTTCCTGACATCACTTCATTTTAATATTTGTTTTCCAGATAAAGGCTTTTATTCATATAATTCAGGTAAATTTGTAGCATGCCCCATATGTTGACTGCATGTATACATTTGCACAATTTAATTTGGCATTGCTGTTATTGTGCTTGTTTGGGCTATTAAGCATATGTTAAAATCCTAAACATTTCCATAGTTAGCTTCCTTTGTCTGCCTCTAGAACTTTTCTAGGAGCTTTATGCTTGTATCTTCCTCATCCAGATATTGAAAGCCATTGTATGAATTCAGTGGCATATTTCATTGGGTTTGATGGTATCTCTTATCTTCTGATGGAAGTGAATTGTAATATAAGGTATTCAGATTCCTCAGATACATATCAAATTTATGTAGTCAGGACATCTTTGTTGTAGCAGTGTGTAAATTTAGTATTTTATGAACTTCTCTATAAGGCTGACTACATAGCAGTATGAATTAAATATAGTTAAATTATAGTATCTGAATTGAAATTATATAAATAACATGATTTTAAGTTAGTATGCTATATTTTTATTAGATTTTTGAAGAAAAAATGAATTATGTGGATTTTAAATATACCAAACTCCTAAAGCACACACTTTACACCAATTTAAAGCTAATCTAAATAACACCTAAGTTATTCAGTAGCCTAATGGGAACTTTTCCAGATCACAAAACAGCTTTGCTTTGAACAACTTCTTTAAGATATGTCCAGCTTAATTATCTTTTAGTTATGCTTAATGAATGTTACATTCTATATCAGAGAAACACAGCTAGGAAAGTAATTAAGTGAAAAAGCCTCAGGGGCAGATAGTTGCCAAATAAAACTAATTACTTATTTGTATTAGCCTTGGCGTTATCTTCTTTTTGTGCCAGTTTTTGTTGATACATTGTTATTTTGTCAAAGGATTATGTTTCCTGTTTAATATCACTGTTTCAGCTTTTAATCTTACATTTTCTTGTATTTCTGTTTAAATTTATTTATAACTTTCAGATAGCAAGAAACAAATAATGGTATCCAGTAGGCAAAACAAGAATGCTTTAAGTTAGGAAAAAAACAGCATATCTTCTTTTAGTGACTTCATCAATTCTTGTGGATTTAATTACCACCTTAGGGACTTGATTCCTAGATCTATATACCCAGCCCTAGTCTCTCTACTGCATTTTGTTTCTTGCTTCACCATTTGCCTGTTGTAAACTGGTTGTCCCATAGACATCTCGATTCAAAATGCCCAAAAATTAAACTCACTATATTTTCCTCCAAACCCACACCACTTCTTGAATGTTCCTATTTCTGTTAATGACATCGCTGTTCTTCTAATTACCCATATTTGCAACCTGTGAGTCAACCTTAATTTCTTACTCTTCTTCCCCCTGAATATGTAATCTGTTGCCAAGTCTTGATTCGATCTCTGTAGCACCTTTTACATCTTACCCTTTCTTGATACCTAAAATGCTAGTTCTGGCCTTCATCACCTCCCTTCAGACTCTTTGAATAGTTTGATTTTCTCAAGTACCTACCCTAACCAATCCATTTTCATCAGATCTACAAAAGTGATTTTATTAAAGTACAGATCTAACTATGTCTTTCTCCTACTCAGTAAACATGTATGACTCTTATTATTTCTAGGGTCAAATACATGCTCCTCTTTTTGACATTTTTAGCTCTTCACAATTTGGTTCCAGCTTTCCTTTTCAACCTTATTATCCATTACTTTTCTTCTCACTCTTCCATCCATTCGAATTGGCATCCTTGCTATGCCTCACATATGACACTTTCTTGTGCTTTTGTACTGGCTGTCTCACATGCCTGGAATACACTCTTTTAACATTTTAGCCTCCTAAAATCCCTAGTTTACTTCAAAGTTAAGCACCAGGCCTTACCAGATTCTCCCAGTTGCTGATGCCTTCTCCTCAAAGTTACTTTGTATTTCATGGGATTATATAGATTTAGAGACAAGCTGGGCCTTTAAAAGTCCATCTTGTCCAGTCTCCCTCATTTTATAAATGAAGAGCTGAGGTCCAGAGAAGTTAAGTATTTGTCACCTAACTAGAAAGTATCTGAGGTAGTATTTAAACTTGTGTATTCTTGACTTGAAGTCCAGTGCTCTATCCACTTTACTGTACTATCTTTATGTTTTTATTTCTTAGTACATGCTGTTTATTACAGTAGTCTTCCTTGAGGATACTGGGGAATTTCTTAGTTTTGTTCCTGGAAAGCTTATAGAATATCACCCACTAACTGCATCAGCTGACAGGAGGTCAGATAATTTGAATAACATAATTGAAAGGATTTTTTTTTAGCATTCAAGGCAGACTGCTCACTAATAACAGATTCAACTTCCTAGCGTACAGCTTTTAAAAAGCTTTTTCAGGCATGCTTACAGTACATGACCAATTACCAACATTCTGTAGCAATTTAAGATAGACAAGTAACAAGTAAAGAAAGAGAATCAGATGAGAAAACAAGGGCCTTCTGGGGAAATATTTGACATTCAGCTGGCAGAATTTGTTATCAGGATGAGAAAACATTCCCTATTAAATGGTAGGAAAGAAGAAGTCACCAAATACTTTTACAATTGTTGATGAAGTCTGCTTGATTTAAGACAGTAAGGTTAAGGTAACCATCCAGAGGTTGGATGGTATGGGGGGTAGTAGTAGCCTTGGATACAATTTCGGGGGGGTGTTGAATAAAAATAAGGGGGCAGTGGAAGCATAAGGAAAGAGAATAATTTTGAAAAACTGTACGTTTCATCTGTTGTGTAACAAAGTTAAAGTTGTAATTATTACCTTGTTTTCCAAATAAACACACAAAATGCAAGTTATAACCAATCAGTGGTCAAGTCTGCCAACGGGTCTTAACAAACAAGTGTTGGCAGGCAAGCCTATAGCACATTGTCAAGAAGTCCAGCTTGCATCAGCAGTAATATGTGCATGTAATGACTTGTTTACAGTATGATACTATGAGTTTACATGATGCAATATTGAACCATCAAAATTTCAATGCAGGAAAAAACCCACAAATTTACAATAAATTATTAACTTAAGGTGTGTCATTTAAAAAATATTTTATATTTTATGAAGTGACACAAATTTCAAATAACATTAAAGGGTTAAAGAAAGTAGATTTCCAGGGGGGGCAGGAGGGGAGTGGGGAATGCTGAGTAATTTTTTTTAAAAGGGGGCAGTAGGCCAAATAAGTTTGGCCTCATTTCTTATGGCAAAGTAAAATTTCATAATCTTTCATGAGATTCATATGTTCTATGATATTTTATAAGATTATACTTTGGTATTCAGAAATGCAAATGTGTTTCATTAGTAAGGCAGGTCAGAAAGATTGCACAGAATTTCCATTTTCAGAGGTTTCCATGATACTTATAGGAGAAGAATCAACAAAATTGAAGGCCATCAAAGATAAAACTTTTAGCCCTTTACCTGTGAGGCCACTGATGTTACTCTTTAATAATTCTCACTTCTTTTTTTTCTGGTGAAGAAGTTGCTTTATCTTATGACCTATCAAATAACATTCTTTGGTTGGATTAAAGGTATAAGGGAAAGTGAACATGAAATTTTCTAATACTTTTTACATTTTCTGTTTCTATTTTGTCTTCTTTTTTTCCTTAGTAAAAAAAAAGGTTTCAATTATAAAATTTAAGAAATTTTCTATACTGAGAATTTACATGTTCAAATCCCCCCAAAACAACAAAAACAAAAGAGAGGAGAAAGGTGGAATTGATTAGAGTTGATTAAGTACCCTAAAACTTTCTATTAAAATGTATAATTCATGGATGTTAAAATAACCAAATTATTGTAATTATCTTTTAATTTAGTTGTACTCTGCCTCTTTTACCCTCTGTCTAGGACTACTCTGTGATCCAGATGTCCTTCCTCTACTGGCTATACTAGTGGTACCACCTCATACTATCTGTCCCTTTATCTCTTCCTTTTCATTGCTTCCTCCCCACCCAACCCTTATCCCTTAGGGACCATGCTTTTTGATACATTAGGGGTATGTGAAAGTATACCCCTGGTGAATACATAATTTCCCTATGAAACACAAATCATTATCAGATTCAGAATGTGCTCTCACAATTTATTCTTAGTGCTGAGACTGAAGCCAGAGAGCCAGCTCCTGAGAGAAGTGTAGTCTCGCAAGGAATATAAAAAGGAATATACAGTGTTTTTTTTTTTAAGTATTAGTAATTACATTGCAGGAAAAAAAAACACATTTATATTACCAGAATTCTGAATTTCCTTTTTTTTATCAATTTATTTTGATTTCTCAACAATCACTTCCACAAACTTTTGAGTTTTAAATTTTACTCCCCCTCTTTTCCCACCTCTCTCCCCAAGATGGCATGGAATCTGATACAGGCTATATATACATACATACATACATATATATATACATATATACATTCTTATTAAACATTTTCATATTTGTCTTGTTGTAAGGAAGAATTATAACCAATAGGAGGAACCACCAGAAAGAGGAAACAAAACTAAACAGAAGAAAAAAATAGCAAATACTATGCTTTGATCTGCATTCAAATTCCATAGTTCTTTTCTGGAGTTGTCTTAGATCCCTGCAGGGCTACACAATGTGGCTGTTACTGTGTACAATGTTCTCCTGGTTCTGCTCACTTTTACTCAGCATCAGTCCATACAAGTCTGTCCAGGTTTTTCTGGAGTCCACCTGCTCATCATTTCTTATAGCACAATAGTATTCCATTGCATTCATATACCACAAGTTGTTCAGCCATTTCCCAATTGATGGGCATCTCCTCAGTTTCCAATTCTTTGCCACCACAAAAAGAGGTGCTATAAATATTTTTGTACATGTGGGTCCTTTTCCCATTTGTATGATCTCTTTGGGATACAGCACTAGAAGTGCTATTGCTGGGTCAAAGGGTATGCACATTTTTATAGCCCTTTGGGCATAGTTTCAAATTGCTCTCCAAAATGGTTGGATCATTTGACAACTCCACCAACAATACATTAGTGTTCCAATTTTCCCACATCTTCTCCAACATTTATCATTTTCCTGTTTTGTCAT